AGAGAGAGAGAGAGAGAGAGAGAGAGAGAGAGAGAGAGAGAGAGAGAGAGAGAGAGGAAAGTCTTTTATTATAAGATAGGTGCCTAATATGAGATAGCGACGTTTACTAAACTAATAGACGCTATCTATTGGTTCCACCATTAATTTATTCTTGGATTGAAAACTATTTAGTAGAAAATTCATTATTAGATCATGCCTATAGGCATTGTAAAAAAAAATTTTAGAATTTGGGTGTCTTCAAGTTTCATTGAGATGAGCCTTTAAACATTGTTTATTATTTAATAAAAAAAATAAATATTTGGCAATAAATTCTTCATGTAGACAGAGTAAGATCATACTAATAGAAAAATACAGAATATGTTGAATTGCTTAATTACAAAAGTTAGATTTGTAAAACCGTAAGGCATGGAAATCGTAATATGAGATACCCAAGGTATTTCCAATATGAAATAATCTATACTTCCATATCATAGTGAAAAATCATTGCTAAAGTATAAATGTTATTGTACAATAATAAAAAGGACAACCGGAATAAACGTCGAGTGCCTATTTCTATGATTTTGATTTCAACTATCTGCAGACGAGTTCTGAGTATAATATATCACATACTCATTTTTCGCGCACTTGGCTGTGTTTGTATTTAAGAAATATTAAATTAAATATTGTTTGTATTTAAGAAATATTAAATAAAGTAATATTTTTTAATTGTAGTACTGATATGCTTTGCGTTTTATTATCGGAATATCTCATATTAGGAACACAATTTTTTATCTTTGCAATTTGCTCACTTTTTATATTTCTTTCATTTGAAAAAAAATAGAAATTAAATTAAATTTTATATAACATTATCTTAAAGCTTATTAAAAAAAAAATATATATATATATACAGGTGTTTGGAAATAATCGTCAAATATTTCACGGGCAAGTAGAGCGGACTAAACTGAGTCGATAAGTCCTCTATCATTTTGTAAATTTCCCCAATAATTAACGAGATATTAATCCTTAAAAATAGCCGAATATTATTGCGAAGTGCATACTCCTACCGATCGCTTGATGCGCGGGCCATGGGGAGTGGGGATAACCTGGCAAGCGCACTGTCCGAGCTATGGAAGCTTGCGGCGGTGTGTGCGGCGCGGGGCTAATCCCGCTAATCCCCAACTCCCAAGGCCCGCGCGCCAAGCGATCGGGGTATACATACTTCGCAGTAGTAGGCCAAGCGAACGCGCGTATTCGGCTATCTTTAAGGATTAATATCTCGTTAACTATTGGGGAAATTTACAAAATGGTAGAGGACTTTTCGATTCAGTTTAGTCCGCTCTACCTGCCCATGAAACATTTGGCGATTATTTCCAGACACCCTATATATATATATATAGAGAGAGAGAGAGAGAGAGAGAATCATAGGAGATTTATTAAACATAATTTTCGTATAAAAAAAGATTTGTCAGAGACTAGCTCAGAATTTTAATATTTATTTCACAATTAATGTTGCTTATTAAAAAATGTTTAATTTTTAAGTATAATATCTTACTTTAACATAATCAAAATATAATGAAAACAGTAACGAATCGTTACTTTCTAAGGAATCGTAACAATAACAAGTTACTTTTACAAAAAGTACATAAAGTATAACGATATAATCGCATAATTTTTATGAAGTTCCCAATTCTGAATTTAGTAATATGAATCGTAATATGATTGATTGTATAAAAAGCAATTCGAATGCAAATTCATGAATGAAATAATTCTTTAAAGACAAGTCCCCAAAATAAGTATCTATGGTGAAAATACTGTAATTGAAATGTATTTTGATAGATAATTTTGTTTTAAAATAAAATAAACTGAACAGCCATATAGACAACTAAATATATAATTTTGCAATAAGTTATTATATAATACTATGAATATGCATACTTATTAAGAGAATATTTATATAATAAAAAATCAACAATTTAATGATATGAAATTTCAACCGGATATGTTCTCGGGTTAATAATATCCTACTATCCAATCGGATAGTAAAAAAGTGCCGGATAACACTGGATACCGAATACTTTTCGGATATTCGGTATAACCCTAATAAAAACATTTAATTTTCGATGTTTATATCGATAAATATTTCGGAAAACGAATTTGACGTCTCTTCAATTAATCATTTCTTATTGTTATCTGTTATATAAAATAAATAGGAATACAATATCTTTTGTTATAAATGTCCTGTTTATTATGTCTTGTTAATAAAATTTCTGTTTAATTTTTGCATTATGTAGAATAGGAATAAAAAACTTACTCTTACTTTATACTGGATATTTATTTTAAGTAATATGTAATAATTCTTTATTTAGTATTATACATTCATACGTCATCAATATTGTCATCATCAATTATGCAATTTTGTGCGCAATCCAATTATTAAATTTGGATACTCTCGTATATATGGATGGTGCACCTCGAATACCACAAGGTATCATACCCCAAGATACAATTCCAACAAGTATCGGTTTTCCATCAATAATCTTAAATAGTGGACCACCGGAATCACCCTAAAAGTAATTAAAAACAATACATTAAATTGCTACATTAATTGTCAACAATATATAATACTATTATTCATTGAATTTGCTGAATATCTTGCACATACACTGCATGAGGATTTTCTGTCTGGTGATCCAGTGCAGATATTGGTTTCATCAATAGGAGAAGATCCCGTCATTTTAATAACGCTTTGATTGCAAGATTTAAGATCCATAATATTCAACATAACATGTTGAAGTTTATCTGGCATTATTGGAATAGTGGTAGTCGAGGTAGAACCCCATCCACAAAGCCATACATTTCCAGTTGGTATACTGTTTGGTTGAGCTAATGTGATAGCATGTACGTACTTATTTATCTTCAATGGAGTTGCAAGCTTAAGCAGAGCAATGTCATTTGGGCCAATACCACTGAAAATTAGAAAATGTGTATCGCAATGTATGTATATATAAATTATATACTTATCAATTATACAGTTTAAAAAAAGATAAGTATTTAAACTAACGTATTAATACTAAAAAGATTATAGTATTAGTGAAAGGAATAGTAATAATCTGCAGAATTAATAGAATATATGTGTATTATAACAAATCTCAAAATATAATTCGTGCGTCATTACTTATTTATGATATAGTTTTCTAATATCCTAAGCAATATGTTTCAATGCTACTCACGATATTAATACATATTGCTACATTACGTTAATTATTTCGATTATTACACTTATTTTACAAACAAAACTGCTGATTATTATTGGTATAAGAGCTATTATGTTTTAAATTATCTCTATATACGATTAAAAATTAATCACAACATTGATTACATATTAAACAAGTATTATTTGAAGACAAATTAATTTAATTGTTTGTATTTACTGCTTTCACTTACCCTTTATATGCTTCATGTATATACACTTTTAATACTTTTACTGTCTGTTCAGTAGCCTCCTTAATTTTAAGATCATTTTTACCAGCCTTGACGATAATACGGCTAGCGGAAATTCCGTCACCACAATGCGCTGCTGATAGAACCCATAGTTCGTTCAGGATGGATGCGGCGCAGAAATGCTGAGATTGACGGCCTCTCGCTTGTTGAAGGGAAACTATAAACGGGTATTGTCCCTTCGTAGCTGGTTTACCTCCAACTACACGAATCTCAAACGGAGTTGAATCCGACGTGATAGGTGGCATCTGGAAGTCGATTTGAGGCTGTACTATAATTCAAATTAATAGATAGTATTTATGAAAACACATTTGCGGAAGAAGTTGATTATAGCACATCAAAGCTAACTCTTTCAAATATTTTATTGTAACATTTTAGAAGAGAATTTTTAATTAGAAATTGAACTTTGCTACTTGCTTCGTAATTCGTATACAATACAACAATTTAGTCATTTATTTAATAAATTTAAAATTCTTTAATTAATAAGAGAAATTTTTTATAGTGTCTTGGTGACCATTTTTTAAATTGAATATAAACTGTACATATGTTATAAATTGAGAAAATTGAACTTACTAGCAACCGCCATGGCTAGGAAAGCAAAGAACACAATAGCTTTGGAATACATTTTGCTGTTTAATGACAATTCCAAATAGAATAGACCGCATTTTATACTTTTCTTGTCGGGTGCGTCTGTGCACTGACAAACTATTATTATCTACGGCAATTAATCATTATATTTTTACAATACGGAAAATTGTATTCCAGACGATACTTCTTTATGACTTGACGTATATTAATTGATGTAAATATTGAACTATACGGCGTAACACAAATGATTTATATTTGTATAAAACAATGTTATTGGTCGTATATATTGTACATCTCAATAACTACTCTATAGTATAAAATTGCTTCTATAAAATTAGGTATACTGATATATAATGCATATAAGTGCGCGCATAAGTTTACAATTTTTATACAATTTTTATTAAAATGTAAACGTATTATTTATCTATATTTAATATTTAAGATTTAATTTATTCAAGCATTTAACTTAATTAAGTTTTATAATACATTATAGGACCGTATATGTGATGATACAAACTATAGAAATCAAAGCTTTAAACGATCTAGCTGGATCTTGAAAATGCTAACTCTACTAAACTACTACAGTATTATCATGAGTTAAATTGAATAACAATTTAACAAATATTTAGTGCAATTCGCATCTTCGAAACGATCTTAATAAATAATTTAACTGCGGTAGACTTAGCGTTTTTAAAGACCGAAAAATCATTTCGGCGCGCGTTTCTAGGGACTACATACATATATACTACATAGTATATAAATTCACGCAAGAATCATACAAGCATTTAAAATCCAGGTAGACCGGTTTTGCTTTATACAGTTTTAAGTTTTGTTATATAAATAGTGTTCATTAATAAGAACAAAGATATCCAAATATATATAATATGTTATAGAATGCGTATAAAAAAATTATAATAAAGAATAATTTAATTATTCTGATAATGATTTAACTTTGAAGTAAACTAAATTTAAAAAAAAGTCATAAAACTGAACTAAATTACAGTTGTAATGTTAAAACATTCTTTAATTAATTAAGTTGCAAATCCTACTATGCTGATTCGTACAATAGATAAACAACAGATAAAAATATATTACAAGTACGTGATATTAATGCATCACTCGTATCATCTTAAATGTATATTAAACACTCGATACATTAAATTGCTATATTAATAGAAGATAACAAAGCTATTATCTTTTACTGAATTTACTGAACATTTGATACTTATTGTAGTCATTTAAATTAAGTAATACAAAAACATTTAATTTTCAACGTTTGTATCGATAGGAGTTTTGAATGTGAAGATTTCTCTTCAATTAATTATTTCTTCTGGGCATTGAAATTGATGTGTATATTTTAAAAAATAATTTATTATTATTATCATCTGTTAAATAAAATAAATAAAATTTATGTCTTTTTACCATGATATCTAATAACATTTCTGCTTAGTTTTTATGTTATGTAGGATAGGAATAAAAAAACATTACTTTTAATTTATGCCGGATATATTTATTTTGTATTAAATAATATATAATAATTTCTCATTCAGTATTATACATTGTCAATATTGCCGTCAAACATAACTAAAATTTGAATTAATTTTCTGTGCAATCCAGTCATTGAATTTAGATATCCTTGTGTATACGGAGGGCGCACCTAAAGTACCACATGGTAAAATACCCCAAGAAACAATTCCAGTAAGTACCGATTTTTTTCCGTTATGCGAAATTAATGGACCACCGGAGTCACCCTAAAAGTATATTAAAAACATATACGTTAAATTGACAAACAATGATACATTAAATTGTTGCATTAAAAAACAGACAAAGTTATTATTATTCACTGAATTTACTTTAAATGGAACTTACACTGCATGCTGAGATTTTACTGTATAGTGGCCCAGTGCAGACATTAGTTTCATGAACGGGAGAAAATCCCGTGAGACGTTTGATGGATTCGTGGCAAGTAGTGCGATTAATGTACTCCACCTTAACATGCTGAAGTTTATTTGGCATTATTAGATAATTGGTAGTCGAGATAGAGCCCCATCCACAAAGCCATGCCGTTCCAGTTGGTTCACTTTCTGGAGGTGCTAATTCGATGGCTTGTACGTTATTGTTCAACTTCAACGGAGATGCAAGCTTAAGTAAACTAATGTCATATGGACCTACACCACTAAAAATTAGAATATACATTGCAATACAGACACACACACACACACACACACACACACACACACACACACACATATTGGGTTGTCCGGAAAGTTCGTGCCGACTAACCTATATAATTTAATACCATAAATGTATACTAAAATTTAAATTTTCTGTGTTTCAATTTTCCTTCAACATCGGTACGAATTTTCCGGATAACCCAATATTTTACATATATTATTGAACCCAAATTAATACTAATTTAATTAAGCAAGTTGTAAAATTTTTGATAAATATATCGTCGAAT